CTTGCTTCTACTATGTATTTCATGAAAAATATTTCACTATATTGTATTCATTGAGTTTCCAGAAGACAATGATTGTGTCTAATGCATTTCTGTATAGAACACAATATAGGTCTCCAAACATAAATATTTAAACATTAAAAAAATGTTTGATGAATAGATGAAAAAGACATGAAGAAAAGGGTGTCAGCCATTCACTGTGTCTTCATGAGACTCCACAGTTATAATGAAGAATAAAAAGAGGGAACCAAGAAATAAAAGAAAAAGGTATGTAGTAGGGGATACAATGAAAATTAGCATAGGATCACACCAAGACAATTCATAATTAAAATGCCAAGGGTAAAAGACAAAGAGAAAATATTAAAAGCAGCAAGAGAAAAATAGTTAATTGCCTATAAGGGAGCACCCATACAAACTATGCAGGCCAGACAGGAGTGCCAAGAAATATTCAAAGTGATCAATAATAAGAACCTACAACCAAGATTACTCTACCCAGCAAAGTTATCGTTCAGAATTGAAGGACAGATAAAGAGCTTCACAGACAAGAAAAGGCTAAAGGAGTTCATCACCACCAAACCAGGACTACATGAAATGCTGAAGTGTATTCTTTAAGAAGAGGAAGAAGAAGAAAAAGGCAAAGGTAAAAATTATGAACAACAAAAAGACATCAAATACATACCTACCAACAAGTGAGTCTAAAAATCAAGTGAATAAAAAATCTGAAGAACAGAATGGACTGGTGAATATAATAGAATCAGGGACATAGAAAGAGAGTGGACTGATAATTCTCGGGGGTAGGGGGTCTGAGGGGTGCAGGAAGAAACTGGACAAAAATCTTACAACTATGGATGAAGACAGTAGCAGGGGGTAAGGGCATGGGTTGGGGTGGGGTGGGGAGTCAAGTGGATGGGAGCTATGGGGGGAGAGGAGAAACAATTGTAATAATCTGAACAATAAAGATTTATTAAATTTAAAAAGTGTGGGGGGAAAGTCAAAAAATGAAAAAGAAAACTAGCATAGGCCTGGGTCATAGAAGCCAAATATTTAAAATTTTTGTATGTTAGGACAGTCAGTGTCAGTTGGATTGAGACAAACATGGAAATAAATAAAAGGCTACTGAGGTGTTCTTAGGGGGTGGGAGGGTGGGAATAGCATTTGGCCAGCCATTCAAGGTCATAGACTTTTCATTCTAGAAACATGGCACAATTTGTCCATAACCTTGTGGAGAAGGCTCCTGCACTGGCAAATGCTGCTGTGACTTACTCAGAAGCCTCGATTGGCCACCTTTTGGCATTATACCAAGGTTGAGCTGGTCCCTCCAACCCCTGCTGAAATCCCTGCAACTATTCAGAGCTTGAGAAAACTAGACAATAATGCTCAAATTGGTATCTTCAAACAGTTCACAGTTAAGAAAGCTCTGCTGAATTGTTTGGTGGACACTGAGGTGTGGATGTGGCTTTATGTCAGTGAGATTATAGACATGTGTGGTATCATTGATTATAATGTTTGAAGACCAATCTTTAATATCTATTTAAGCTATTTGAATGTTCTTAGACCATGAGTGATCAAACTGGTATTTGAATTAAAAAGATATGTAAAAATTTTTAAAGTTTAAAAAGAAAAGACTATTGATATTTGGTGAGAAAGAAATGCCTAGCAACTCTGGTATATATTTTTACAAGCAGACCAAACCTTCATGAGAACTTTTTCTCAAAAATCTTACTTGTCCTCTGTAATTAAATATTTGGCATAATGGGTGCTTAAGCTGAAATTACTATTCTTACCAGTAATCAATGCAACAGTGTTTAATGGAATCTCAGTAACTCCATCTTCAGGTCTGACTGGTTAGCTCAGTTGATTAGAGCACTGTCCTGATATGCCAAGGTTTCAGTTTTGATCCTTGGTCAGGGATCATATAAGAATCAACCAATGAATGTGTAAATAAGTGGAACAACAAATTGATGTCCTCTCTCTCTCTCTCTCTCTCTCTCTCTCTCTCTCTCTCTCTCTCTCTCTCTCTCTCTCTCCCTCTCCCTCTCTTTGGAAGACAATCAATAAATTTTTAAAAAATAACACCATCTTCAGTTTGATTTCTGGTGACATCATTAGTTTTGGGGACCCCATACTCAACAGAAATTATATCAAAGTCAAGACCTATTACCATCATCATGCAATACAGTAAAATATCCTTAGAAGAAAGAAAAGACTAAACTTTCTCCACAGAAAAATGAAAAATTTAGTATGTCAATTTCTTCAAACATAGCATAGCACCTGTCACAAATATATGAGGTAGCATGAAAAGGTCACCTGCTTTCAGACTTACTTTCTTGCTCACAAGTCAAAGGGGGTTTCCCAGGCTGGTAACACTCTAATTTAAGACATTCTGGAGCCCTAATTTCCATTTCAAACCATAGGTTATCTCTACTTTCATTTAAACAAGTAACTTTAACCCACCACCATGGAATTCTTCTGTATAACTTTGGTCTCTGAAAATGCTGTGTTTCTGGGAAGGAGTCTTGGGGAAAGTCCCCTTCTTCAGTGCACAAGCCCTTCCTCTTTCTCCACCCAGGAGCTTTTGCCCCACAAGTAGATAATATTAGATCTTATAGGTAATAAGTACTCTCAGGATTCTGTGAGATCTGCAATAGCCCATTCTAAACTCTATAAACAGTGAGAAATGTCAAGAACTCCCCAAATTCAATGAAGTTTGACCAGGATATAGTCTTAGAAGTGTAGGATTCTACTGGCATGTGAAATACCATAGCCCAGTGTTTCTCATTGTTCCCAGTTGGTAGGTAGAATAATGAATTCCTTCCCCCCCATCCAAAGATGTCCATATCCTAATCCCCAAAACCTATGAACATGTTGCATTACTTGGCAAAAGGACATTGCAGCATGATTAAGTTAAATATCTTGAGATGAGAAGATTACCCTGGATTATCCAGATGGGTCTAATGCAATCACAGGAGTTCTGATAAGAGTGAGGCAGAAGTGTCAGAGTCAATACATGTGAAGACAGAGTAGAGGGGAAGAGGAGAGGGGGTGGGGCTAAAGATGCTATGGTGCTGACTTTGAAGATGAAGAAGAATGTGGGTGTCTTATAGAATCTGGAAAAAGCAAGGAAACAGATTATCCCCTAGAGCCTCCAGAAGGAACACCACCCTGTTGATACCTTGATTTTAAGATGGCTGAACTACAGAACTGTAAGGTAATATATTTGTGCTGGTTTAAGCCACTAAGTATGCTAATTTGTTACAGCAACAATAGAAAACTAATACACTTGCTATTGTGACTTTTTTTGAAAAATACAACTAAGTGGTCAAATAAATGTGCAATCTCTAGCCTTCTTTTGGAAATTCACAGTGCACACTGGTTCACTAAAGGCTCTGAGAAGTTTGATAGAAAAGAAATCTATAAGTTTACCTCATTATTGATCATCAAAAATCCGTTAGCTGCAACCATTTATTATCATCTCACAAAATAATGTTCCTTTCTCAGAACACTAGTTTGAGGTAATGCTGCTGCTAACTCATTGCATGTTCATTTGACCGAAGATGACGATAGATGTGTTAACCAAAGGAGAGGTTAGTGTGGAGATCTAGAAGGTGGTGAGTCAAAGAACAAGAAAGTCTCAATGTTCTCCTCAATTGTCCAGGAAAGCTCATTCTGACATACGACTACATCAGTATTTAGTACCTGCTCTGTAATCTATTCCCTGGTGGATGACTGACGCCATTAAGATAACCCAAGGATGTCCCCTAGTCCTCATTCCTAGTGCCCCAAACAACCTTCTGCTATCATTAAGCTTCCCTTTCAAGTCTGACCTGACGGTTGATATGGCAACTCCAGTCTGAATATGAATAAATCAAAATTCTAACTTTACATATATTTCTATCCCTTGTGATTTCTATTTTATTAGCATGAGTCCATCTCCAGGAGATTCTTGACTTCTAAGTATCTCTGACAAAATTCAGTTTCTAAACCTAACTAGTGCCCCTATAAGGTCCTGCCTAAATTGCCAGACAGAGGAACTTTCTTAATGACACCTTCACCCTGCATTACTCCTAATTGCCACAATCCCTCGTGGGGGCAATTTCTCTGTCCATAACAGTTCTGTCACCGTGTCTAGGAAAAGCTCATTGAAAGTGTATTCAGTTAACTGAGTTCACCGCAGGACAAGGTAAAGCAGTAGTAGATATGAGCAGAAAAGGACTATATGGACAGAGAACAGGGTACAACTTGGTACAGATAAGGGGAATCCTCTCTTTTGACCAATGCAGTAAGTGTAAATGAAGTTACCATGTTCATTTTATGCACTGGCAAAGGGAGGATCAGAGCACAGATGATCTGTGTAGCAATTCTGATCACTTCCTAGAAGGCATGCAGAGTCAAGGTGTTGTGGACAGCTATTGTCTTCTGAATACTTCATTTCAAATATTTTTCCTTTTCCTTTCTCTAGATCAGAGGTAGGTAACCTTTTTTCTGGCAAGTGCCATTTGGATATTTATAACACCATTCTCAGGCCATACAAAACTATCAACTTAAAATTAGCTTGCTATGATGAATGAATTACAAAACTGTGGTACATCTACACAATGGAATACTATCCTGCTGTAAAAAAGAAGGAACTTTTACCATTTGCAACAGCATGGATGGAACTGGAGAGCATTATGCTAAGTGAAATAAGCCAGTCAGAGAAAGATAACTATCATATGTTCTCACTCATTGGTGGAATATAATGAAAAACATAAGTTGATGAACAAAAATAGATCCAGAGACAAAGAAGCATTGAACAGACTGTCCAACCTCAGAGGGAAGGGGGGGGGGGGGGTAGTGAGAGGAGTAAGAGATCAACCAAAGAACTTGTATTTATAACCCATGGGCACAGACAGTAGGAGGTAAGGGCATGTGCTGGAAGATGGGCACGGCTAGAGAGAGGTCAATGGGGAAGAAAAGTAGACATATGTAATACTTTAAATAATAAAGAATTTTTTTTAAAAAATTAGGCTGCTATATTTGGTCAAATATTTAACTAATTAACCTTTAATGCCTTGACAGGGCCAGACCAAATGACTTTTCAGGCCTTACATGGCCCTTGGGCCAGATGTTCCCTACCCCTGTTCTAGATGATCAGACCTATAATATGTAAAACTTGTGTGGTATTAGCCACCACATTTTCATGAATCATTTAATAAAGCCAGTTATATCTTAAAAAGAAAGAAAGAAAGAAAGAAAGAAAGAAAGAAAGAAAGAAAGAAAGAAAGAAAGAAAGAAAGAAAAGATTAAGTATCTCAACCTGTCTCAAATAGAAGTCCTAGTACGCCTTATGTAAATTACCCCAATTTCCTCCTGGCAACTATTAGTATCCTATGTCAATGGGCATGTAGTGTTTTATATTTTTGTAACTTTAGGGTCTTAGGTGATCACAGGTTGAGAACCGCTGCTGCAGAGCCTAAGACCATCAGAAAACACAGATATTTACATTATGATTCATAACAGTAGCAAAATTACAGTTATGAAGTAGCAACGAAAATAATTTTATGGTTGGGGTCACCACAACATGAGAAACTGTATTAAACTGTCATTGCATTAGAAAGGTTGAGAACCACTGACCTAGAGGAAGGGAGGAAGATAGAGGAGTTTAAGTTGATGAAGGTACAAACAAGCCTGGAATCAATAAATCCAAACCACAATTTTGCTTAGCACCAACCTAGCATAATCACCAACCAGTGTGATTATGCATGGAGGTAGCTGAGCATGACGTAGGTGAATACACACTTTTAAAAAATATTTTATTGATTTTAGAGAGGAAGGGAGAGGGAGGGAGAAACATTAATGATGAGAATCATTGACCAGCTGCCTCCTGCATGCCCCCTACTAGGGATCAAGCCCGCAATCCAGGCATGTGCCCTTGGCCAGAATCAAACCTGGACCCTTCAGGCCACAGGCAGACGCTCTATCCATTGAGCCAGCTAGGGCTAAATACACACGTTAAGGAGCCCACATATCTTGCTGCAAGAAGTCTGGGAAACTTTCTGCTTGGTCATTACCAACTTGACAACAAAAGTTTCATTCCCATTAGAGCTATTTATTGAGGTTGTTCTAGAGCAGTGGCTCCCAAAGTGTGCTCCCAGACCAACAGCAGCAGTACCTGGGAACTTGTTAGAAATGCAAATTGTGGGGTATATCTCCAGACTTGCTAAATCAGAAACTCTGGGAGTGAGGACTAACAATTTGTGTCTTAATAGCCTCCAGGTGATTCTGATGCATGCTCAAATGTGAAAACTACTGGCCTACATCTATTTTAATCAACAATCTCAGTGCTTGGTGGTGGGGTGGAGGTGGGAATGCGGTTGCCAGATAAAATACAGAACACCAAGTTAAATCTGAATTTCAGATAAACAACACCAATTTTAGCATGTCTAAATCTTACATGGGATATACTTGTTATTCACTTTATTATATTTATAAAAGCATTTGTTGTATATCTGGAATTCCAATAATTATTCGCCACCCTAGCCTGTTTGATTCAGTAGATAGAGCGTCGGCCTGCAGACCAAAGGGTCCCAGGTTTGATTTCCGTCGGGGGCACATACCTTGGTTGCAGACTCCTCCCTAGCCAGGACCCTGGTCAGGGAGCATGCAGGAGGCAACCAATCGATGTGTTTCTCTCACATGGATGTTTCTCTCTGTCTTTCCCTCTCTCTTTCACTCTCTCTAAAAGATCAATGAAAAAATATCCTCGGGCCGGGACCGGTTTGGCTCAGTGGATAGAGTGTCGGCCTGCGGACTGAAAGGTCCCGGGTTCGATTCCGGTGGAGGGCCTGTGCCTTGTTGTGGACACATCCCCAGTGGGGGGTGTGCAGGAGGCAGCTGGTCGATGTTTCTTTCTCGTCGACGTTTCTAACTCTCTGTCCCTCTCAATACCTCTCTGTGTAAAATCAATAAAATAATTTTTTTTAAATATCCTCGGGTAAGGATTTTAAACAAACAAACAATAAATAATTGTTCACCAAATCTGGCAAACCTACCCTAGCTGGTTTAGCTCAGTAGATAGAGTGGCAGCCTGTGGACTAAAGGGTTCAGGGTTTGATTCCAGTCACATGCCTGGGTTGCTGACTAGATCCCAAATAGGGGGTATGTAAGAGGCAGCCGATCAAGATTCTTATCATTGATGTTTCTATCTCCCTCTCCTTTTCTCTCTGAAATCAATAAAAAATATTTTTTAATGTGGCAACCCTGTAGAAGGGGACTCTAGACAAGGGGAGCAGGATTGCCAGCCCCAAATATACATTTTTGGCATAAGGATTATTTTTGACTGACTAAGAAATAGCAAGCTCAGGAGAATCTCTGCCAATGGAGAGGTTTGTAAGAGATGTTTACATGTATTATGGAAATCACCATTTGTAAGGATGTCTCCCTCCCTGTACCAGGAAGAAGAATTACTAGAGACTCTTATCAATGGAGAAAACAACAGCCTAAATCTGCCTAACAACCTTACCCTTGTTTATGGTGCTTTTCTTGCTAGCCTCCCATAACTGCCTCCCCATCTTCTTTTGTCTTTAGCGGGAGATGGTGTTTACTTAAGGTGATGGCTTAGACCATTTTGGAGTTAGTTTTCCTGTGTATCTCCATGTATACAAAAGATATACATGTCATTAAACTTCTGTTTTTCTCCTGTTAATCTGTCTTTTTATTAAGGGGTAGGGTGAGGGGGTCTCAGCCAAGAATCTAGAAAGGTACAAGAGCACATACTTGAGAGTATAAAACTTAAATTTTGGGGAATTCTAAGCAAGTGCAGAGCATTATGGAGGAGCACTGCAGGATAAACCAGAAGAGAATTTGGGAATTAGATTTGAGTTCACAGTTCAGACCCTAGAGATTCCAGCTACTGTAGTTTCTTGTAATAAGACCTGAATTCTCAATCTCTTTCCCTCTTTCCCTCTTTTCCTCTCTCCCTCTCTCTCCCTCCCTCTCCCTCTCCCATCGCCCTTTCCTTACTTCACGTGGGTGCACAGCTTCGAGTGTGGATCCCAGACTAGAGTTAAGCCACCACTGATCGCTCAGCTAGGAACAAGCTGCACAACCCTTTGTGGCAGCTCTGAACCTATTGCCCTTTGTGACAGGTTCGACAATTAGCCGGCTAACTTGGACCCGTTCCAATTGCTTACACTCTGTCTGCATTGTTTCAGGGTTCTGGCCATTGGAGGGAGGCAGGCCCCCCACCACCCAAGGCTCGGTTTTCTAAAGCCATGTTTATGTTTGTCAAAACCATCAGTGTGCAAATTTCTTTGTTCATAATGGTGGCATTCAAGTTGAATTGTGCATGAAATTGTCTTGCTAAGGAAGCAGCTTTCTCTATATAAAAGGGGGCAAGAGAAACTGAAGGATCTGATTAGTTAATAAGAATTCTAAGTAGTGAAATTCCAAATTAGCATAAAACAATTTTGTGTTCAAAGCACGTGCAGCACCAGAGTAAAAGAATTCTTTTTTTCCTTTTTTTTTTTTGTTAAAGCATTTTGTTCTAAAATAGTATAATCACAATAAGACATTGCAATATGTGAATTGTAATATATTAAGTCATGACTAATTGCATTGATTTGCATTTAGGGTTTTTTAACATCTGTGTGGTAATTATCCTAATCCAATTTGTTATGCAGAATACAATCAATGTTATGTATGTTAGTGTTTAGGGCCCTACACAATTTCATGTAATAAAACGGAATGAAATACAAAGGTAGCTCAGGTGCAAAGATATTTATAAATAACAAGCTCTTTTTCCAGATCTCCAAAATTAGCTGGGGCTGGGGTTCAATGGAGATCAAGCAAATTTAATTAACATTTTTAAAGGAGGCCCAAGAAAAGAGAGAGCAAGCTCTAGCTCTTGAGAAGGAGCAAGAACAAGCTGTATTAAATCCTCAGGAAGAAGATTTTTTTTCTAAGGCTCTGGCTTTTAGAAGCTGCCAGAAATAATGCCCTGACCTTACTGATAATGAGCCAATGAGACCGCGTTTCACTGACATAGTGCTATTTTAGTAAGGGTTGCATCTTATCTAAGAGTCAGGGTTTAGCTTTAAACCTTACGTTTTTCTGTCTTTTTAGGGGGAAAAAAGCTCTGCCTAACATCTCCCAGAAAGTCCTAGGAATCTGGGGCACAAAATATCTGAGCAAACTTTAGGCTCAGGCAAAGAAAGCAGCTATGTCTGTGTAATGTGTAGGGATACTAACGAGTATTTCCACCACCACCGGACGCAAGCACGCGTGCAAAGCCTTGCTGGCCCCTTCTCAGATGTCTGAATTTTCTACTTTGGGGCATCCAGTCCTTTAACATTTGGATTTGTCCCTTTTTATAAATGCCAATCTGCCTCATTAAAAGCACAAGCCTTGGTGAGCAGTACTTAAACTGCCTTTTTCTGAAAGAAGAGTAGAGAAAAGGTGAGGGTACTGTGGGAGAAAAAGTGACCACATACTAAACTGACAAGCTCATGGAGGCTTCTATGTGGCCTTACAAACTCAGACCTAAAAAAACCAAGTAAGATTGTGGTAGATTTGGGGGGTCAATTGAGGAAACAGGAAACATATGTAAAACTTTAGACAATACAAAAAAGCTTTAAAAAAATAAGATTGTGGTAGATCTAAACAGACATAAACAGAGACAGTGCAAGGGCCAGGGACCAGGTACGGAAGGTCACCAGGGTGGAAAGTCTTGGGTGCTTAGCAAAGGACAATTGTAGTGTGGGGCCGCATCCCCAGGGTGACCTTTCCTCCCCTAGCATAATGCTGGTCATGCGGTTAGGAACCCAACATTTCATATTGCTGATCATGACCACTGACCTTTCCTTCCTGAAAATAACATCTAGCCTCAGTTGCATTTTAGCTCTAGGCCCAGAAAAGCAGCAAAACCAGCCAAGCAACACCATGACTTACCACTGGTCAATCAATCAATGGAAACCACAACCTTGAAAAGACACACTTGGAAAACTGCTAAATATGCTATTGTGATCTTCCCCTGGGACCCCCCCTAAAATCTCCACCCCCATGCCTTTCCCTTCCTCTTCTCCCTCCTCATTCCCCAGGCACATCACCTTCACCTTCACCTTCCTTATTCTCAAGCTCCTAGGGTAAGGTGACCAGACGTCCCGCTTTTGGCAGGACAGTCCCGATTTTTAACAATTTGTCCCGAGTCCCGCAGTGTTTAAAAAAAAAAAAGTCCCGATTTTTGTTAAAATGCCGCGGGACGTGGGACAAATTGTTAAAAACCAGGACTGTCCCGCCAAAAGTGGGACGTCTGGTCACCTTATCCTAGGGCCCTTCCTTTACCTCTATAACTTGTTTCCTAAGCCCATTTCTTTTACAAATTACTTCTTTTACCTTGTTGATTTTCTAAATAAATTAGAGGCCTGGTGTACAGTGCACGAATTGGTCCATGGGGGGGTCTGGCCGGCCCACCCTGATTGGGGCCTACTGGCTGGGCTAATGGGGGGGGAGCCGGGGGGGAGGATGGGCAGTTGGCCAGCTGGCCCCACCCCTTGGTCGAACTCCTGGTTGAACACCCTGTCAAAGGGACAATTTGCATATTAGCCTTTTATTATATAGGATTTTTTTTTTTATAATTCTGTGTCCAGACAATCAATGGGTCTGTGCTACCTGTCACTATTTGAGCCAATTAAGCAGAGACAGGGGTGAATCATATATGAGCATTTATTCCAATAATGCCAGCAGTATGGGAGAGCAGCAGGTCATCCACAAAAATCTGTTCTGCAGCTCCCCATAAACCATCTGTTTTTATAGGGTAGAACAAGGATTATATGGGAAAGTAGAAGGCTGGGGTGCGACTCCATTGTTTGGACAATAAGGTTGTTAATCTTTCCATGATAATTGGCAGTTCTTCTTTTTTAAATATATTTTATTGATTTCTTACAGAGAGGGATAGAGAGTTAGAAATATCGATGAGAGAGAATCATCGATCAGCTGCCTCTTTCACACTCCCTACTGGGGATGTGCCCACAACCAAGGTACATGCCCTTGACCGGAATCGAACCTGGGATCTTTCAGTCCACAGGCCAACGATCTATCCACTGAGCCAAACCAGTTTCGGCAATAGGCAGTAGTTGAATGAGAATGGTTCCAAGGTTGATTCCCAGGTCCAAGGTTGACTCCCATACCCTGGGGCATACAACTTCCAGCCAAGTTAGAATGTCCTTTCTTTAACCAGAATAAGACAATCATGGTTAATAGAGCATGATTAATATTTCCCATAACCATAGCTAGTCCCCAATATTCTACTTTTGCACCTAACAGTTTGAGTTTTGGCTCTGAATTTTTTCTTAGCCAGAACTTAAGTACAGAGGTTGCTGAACCCAGGTCAGTCTGACCTCATGGGTTTATACCTGGTGGCATTCCTGTGGCCTGTAACAGGATGGTCTGAAATTTAAACTTCCTAATTAAAATTGAATCATGGAGGGTAGTCATGTCCTAGGCCCATATCTTCCTTGACAAAAGTCAGTCTTTACCTTAAATGAACCTGTCTGTTGTCTTTTTGCATATATGTTAACTTACGTTTGAAATGCCAGGATAATTTCTTTTTTCAAGACTTCTGGGGCACAATCTCTCACCAGAGCAGGAAACCATAGAGCCCCTCATTGTTACTGTTATCATGTTAATTGTTAACTATCCAGTATCCACCTCTGTAAAAGAAGTATGTATATTTGTTTTACTCTTTATCCAATCCCAGAGATTTCCCCCACCCACCCCCACTTTGCTTTCTCCTGCCTCCCTAATCTATCACCAGTGGATTTCAAGTAATCCCCTTACTCCTCCTTAGATTCTAATGTATAAAATAAGGTGCAAAATTGCCATTCTCCAGAGCATTCTCTCAATTTGTTGAGATTTTGCTTCCCAGCAATTGGTGTTAGTTTGGTTCAAATAACTCATAAAATTATTATGGGTTTGGACATTTCTTATTTTGATAGTACCAAATTGTCTGAGGGGCAACAGAGGCTCTGAAGAGGGGAAGGCCTGAAAAGCAAAGGCAGCAGATATAACAAACAATATTCACTTAGTTTGCCATTTGGTCGAGTACACAAGCCCTAGCATTCTCCAAGGGTGGAGGGAACCCATGTCTATGGGGAAAGGGAACAAAGTAGACATCAGATCCCTTCCAGCCTCTCCTACTCCTTGCCTTCTCCAAGAACTAGTTCCCATCCCCTTTCTGTTACCCTCTTGGTCCACAGTGTAAACCTGTATATACTCATGAGGTCACCAACCTGGCTGATAATGAGGATCACCAAGAAAGTGTGTTAAATATATAGCTGCCCTGACTCCTTTGGCTCAGTGGATAGAGAGTCAACCAGGGGACTGAGGGTTCCAGGTTTGATTCTGGTCAAGGGCATGTACCTTGGTTGTGAGCTCAATTCCCAGTGGAGGGTATGCGGGAGGCAGTTGATAGATGTTTCTCTCATTGATGTTTCTCTCTTACCGATGTTTCTAACTCTTTATCCCTCTCCCTTCCTCCTTCTAAATCAATAAAATATATTTTTTAAATTATAATAAATAAATAAATACATAAATAGCTGCCTCATCCCCTCATCAATTCAGACTTAATATTGGGTAGGCAAGTAAGTAATTGCGGATTTTTTAAAGAAAATCAAAGACAATTTTTTCATGGAACTAAATAACTTTATTCTGTAATGTATTGCCCATTTTGATCAATGACCTTTTGCCATCTTTCAGGCAGCATCATAATCCCACGTTCAAAAAACTTCTGGTTTTTATTAGCAAAAAACTGAATCAGGTACGATTTGACATCATCATCATTATTGAAATTTTTACCATTCAAGGAGTTTTGTAAAGATCGAAACAAAAAGTAATCAGATGGTGCAAGGTCAGGACTATATGGTGGATGTGGCAAAACATCCCAACCAAGCTCCATTAATTTTTGCCGAGTGACCAAAGATGTGTGTGGCCTTGCATTGTCATGATGGAATACAACACCTTTTCGATTTGTCAATTTGGGCCGCTTTTCTTCAACTGCATTGTTTAATTTCATTAGTTGTTCAATGTAGACATCAGAATTGATCGTTCGGTTGGGTGGTAAGAGTTCAAAGTAGACAATTCCTTTGTAATCCCACCAAACTGATAACAAAACCTTCTTTTGATGAATATCAGCTTTTGATGTTGTTTGAGTTGGTTCACCTGGCCTGCTCCACGATCTTTTCTGCTTGATATTGTTGTAAACAACCCATTTTTCATCGCCAGTTATCAGTCGTTTTAAAAATGGATCATTTTCATTACGTTTCTTTAGCAAATCGCAGCTGCTAATGCGTTGCGTTAACTGTGATTCTTTCAGTTTGTGAGGAACCCATGTATCGAGTTTTTGAACATAGCCAAGTTGTTTTAAGTGATTTTCAATGCATGTATGTGATACATGAAGCTTCTCTGCAATCTCACGTGTTGTACTGTGACAGTCCGAATTGATTATTGCTTTGATTAGGGCGTCATCAACTTCAACTGGACAACCAGAGCGTTTTTCATCTTTGAGTGAAAAATCACCAGAACGAAATTTGGCAAACCAATTTTGACACTGCCGTTCTTTTAAGGCTTCGTCACCATAAACAGCACATAACTTTTTATGAGCTTGCGATGCGTTTTTCCCTTTGTGGAAATAAAAAATCAAAATATGACGAAAATGTTCCTTTTGATTTTCCATTTTTCAACGAACGCCAAACGAAAACTACAAAACAGATCAAAAAACTTTTTTTACTGATTAACAGCTGAATAGCCAACTATCAAATAACAAAATGTGTTTTACATTTTTACTACGTCTGCAAACCTAAAAATTCAACTGAAGCCATATATGTTTGAAACCCGCAATTACTTACTTGCCGACCCAATAGGTCTGGGATCAGGCCCAGGCATTGGGTTTGTTCTGTTATTTTGAGTGGAGGGTTGTTAATCCTCACCCACGGATACTTTTCCATTGATTTTTAGGGAGAGTGGAAGACAGAGGGAAAGATAGAGAGAAACATACATGCGAGAAAAACACATCAATTGGTTGCCTCCTGCATGAGTCCTGGCCAGGGGCTGAGCCAGGCAGAGCCTGCAACCAAGGTACATGCCCTTTACCAGAATCAAACCTGGACCCTTTGGTCATCAGGCTGGCACTCTATCCACTGAACAAAACTGGCTAGGGCAGCATAGGTATTTTTAAAGCTGCTTCCAGGTGATTTTAATGGACAGCTCCATTAGGCAACCACTGGTATCAGCTGAAGATTCCCACCAGGTATGCCTGCCTATGCAAAATATGCCTAGGCAAATGGAGGTTTCAGTGGTGTGGCAAATGAAAGGCATTATGAGCAAAACTATGCTCCAGCAGAGTAGACCTGAAAAAGACTCCCTCCTTGAACAGATTGGTCAGGCTCCTCTAAGCCCTCATTTTAACTAGCTTCCTCTTTGGCCCTGTTTTTGACATGCCTTTGTCAAAGAATCCTGCTAAGTCAGTTTATTGGAAAATCCTCCCACTCAAGATATCTGATCACTCTTGATATCTGATCAAGTTCTTCATCCCCCAACCTTTGATTTCTAAGTCCTTGGCTTGCCTTTAGCAATAATCCTGTTAAGTCAGTTTAGTAAGAATTTCCTCACCTTTGATGTCTGTCTTAGTCAGCTTAGGCTGCTATAACAAAGTACCATAGACTGGATGGCTCAAACAACATTTATTTCTCACAGTTCTGAAGGCTAGAATTTCCAGATCAAGAAGCTAGCCGATTCAGTTCCTGGCAAGAACCCTCTTTTTGGCTTACAGAAGGCCATCTTCTCAGTGGCTTCACATTGGGGGGGTGGGGGGGGGGAAGAAAGGAGAGATGGGGAGAAAAGAAAGGGAAAGGGAAACGGGCAGGAGAGAGGAAGAAGAGGAAGGAGAAAAGGGAGGAGGAAGAGAGGGAGGGAAGGAGAGGGAGCAAACCAGAGCTCACTCTGATCTCTCTTCTTTTTAAAGGGACACTATTCCATCATGGGGCCTCACGCTAATGACTTCATCTAAACCTTCTAAAGGCCCAACTTCCAAATATCATCACATTGGGGGTTGGGGCTTCAATACATGAAAATGGGGATGGGACACAAACATTCAATCCATAATGACATTAATCAATTTCCTCTTAGTAAATTTGCATCCACCAACCCCCTCACTCTGCTCATTGGCTATAAATCCCTACTTGTCCTCGTTGTAGTAGGAGTTGAGTTCATTCTCACTCCCTTATTGCAATAGTCTTGAAGAAAATCTTTTTACCATTTTAACAGGTGTCAGAATAATGTTTCTTTAACAGGCCCTTAAGGGGAAAAACTACTCTGCCAGACACCAGGGATCCATTTAGCCAACTACTTTCTAGTTAGTTAAGGCCTGCTCCAGCCCATTAAACGGGATCCCAGTGTCTCCAACCACATGCCTAATACATAAGCAGGAAAGACTCTAAGGATTAGCACTCCTTGATTGGAATTTGTTACTATCTGTGAAATTCCCATTATTCAAACAAACATTTACTGACCATTTACTATAGGTCTTGTTCTGTGCTAGAAACAGGAATAACCTAGGCCACTTTGTTCTCAAAACTTATAGAAAAGCAGGGAAGGCAGACAAATAAACCAACAAATACAACACACTTAGGCGCTGTGACCATCTATTATTGTAACCATTTGCTGGAAGGTGAGGAGCGAGTTATAGCAATTAATTGGCACCAAGTCTTCATTGAATCACATCTCTGAGGTAATTCCTGCACCTTGTTTACCCCTGCAGAGCTTTTTCTGCTTCCTGTTTGTTTTTCCATGGCTAACCTCTGCCTATAAGATGAAGCCCAAACTCGTTAGCCTGTCATTTCAAGCACTCCATGGTCCTCAATGCATAGCTTCATCAATCAGCAAGGCATGTTGGACATTATCTCCCCAAGTTAGAAGACAGAGCAATCAATTCAAGAACATTCCCTTGATTTCTGTATTCACACTGTCCTTTCTGGATCTTGGCCAGTGGCAAAAACAAACACACAAAACTGGAGGGGCTTTCTAATTGTGGGAATGGGGAGAAGCTAAAGAACAAAAGTGAGTCAGAAGAGAGCCCAGAGAAGCTGCTAGTGTCATCAAAGCTTCTAACCACCTCAACCTCATGAAAGAGCACACTGTGCCAACTGCAGTGCCTCCTCTTCCAGCAACCCACTTCTCTACCTTCTTCCAAAGGCCTAACAAAAGAACAGATTGAGCTACTAGAAGCTTTGAGAAGAAGGATAGTCAGATGTCTATCAGATGCCACTCAGACACTATCTTGCCCAAAAACCTTGAGGCCTTCCTGAGCCTCCATCTTCTCACCATTTAAATAGAGATGACATTGTCATCTGCCCTACTTCACAGACAACAGGTGGAAATCAAGAGAGAAAGGACTTGAAAGTGTTATATGAACATTCAGGCATGGGGGCTTGTTATTACTATTCTGATGGGCTCTGCAAGGCACATTGAAAAGGTTTTATAACAACATACATGAGGACAGCAGGTTGCTTCCAGAAATAGAAACAAGGGAAAGGATAGTACTGACTCAGACTTGCTCTCCAAGTCACCTTTCACCCAAGTGCTGGGCGCTTGATGGCATAAACAGCCAATGATACCACCCTCCCCCACTGCCTGTCAATATGACAGCAAAGTACCTGCTATATTGACCACAGATGCCAAGACCTACCCACAAGTAACTACTCAGTAGCCTCCCTTTCCTCTTGAAAGCTTGTCATTACCATTCTTGAAATCCTGGTCCTGGCCTGCCCCAAGAAACATCTATTTATGGGAGGCATAGTGCCAATGAGTTTTTGCAAATCTTCCTTCCTTTCTGAATTTGAACTTGCAGACAGGGTCACAGGCTCACGAGAGAACTGCAGTGTGTCTGACATGCTTGCAACTTTTCCGCAAACTACTCTCCACCCATCAAAACATCCCCACCCTGTGCTCCTCTCGAGGCCCTGGGGGGTGGAGGGAGAATGAGCAACACTGTCAACACTGATGTGATAGTTAGCCATAAAGTAAACAGCACACTCTCGCTCTGAAAGGGAGGAGACGTGGCAGACTTCCTACAAGGTCAGAGGGAGATTTAGTTAAGGGGTGGAGGGGCCTTGTCAATTTCCCTCTCAATAGCTATCTGCTGGTAAGGAGGACCCTACTTCGTTAGGCCTCTGAAAACGTATACAGAACTCCTTTGGTAATCATGGTCAATCACTTGGATGCTTGCCCCAGCCCTGGGGAATCTTGTGGTAATGCCTATAAATCAGTGTAGCCAAGGAAAACTGCTGCAGACTTTGATTCTGTAGCTCTTGTTTGGAAGCTCCTTTATTTTTCTCTTTGTAGGCAACACATCAGACTGATTTGATAATGACCAAGGTGTGGAGACAGATAGCAAGGAGCTAACAGCCAGCATCCCCTTGGCATGTTTTCTTTACCTGATTTGGGGTTTCCAGAGGGGATCTGCAGGCATAACACAAATTCCAGAGCAAAATCTGTGGCTCTTCAAACATCAAAGCATCAGTAGAGGCCTGAGGCTGGGTGGGACTGGTGGGGAAGCAGCAGGGTAGTTAGTAGAAGAGGCTTAGGTCAGAGTTTAGAGCTAGGTTTCAAAAGGGCTGGAAATGCTATCCTCTTCAACAATCAAGTTAAGAAGGGTAATGGGACAGAAAATTGGAGAGAATGATAAGTGGAGACCAATCCAATTGCATAAAGAGATGTGCTCAGATTTTCCTCAGTGGGTGTACCATCTAAATGCTTTTTAACCTTTGTAAAGCACAAGAACTGACCTAGTGCTATACAACATAATTCCATAATGATGGAAATGTTCTATCAATACAATGTACAGTAACCACTAGCTCATGTAGCTATTAAGCACTTAAAATTGACCTTTATGACTGAGAAAGTTAATTTTTAATATAATTTTTCATTTTAATTCATTTAAATAGCCGTGTATGGTTAGTGACCATCATATGCACCAGCACATGGCTAGAGTTACCACACTCTGTGTTCAAATCCCAGCTCTTCCGCTTAAAAAAAAAAAAAAAGATATATATATATATATATATATATATATATATATATATATATATATATTGCTTTGAGAGAGAGAACAAGGGAGAGGGAGAGAGAGAGAGAAACATTGATGTGAGAGAGAAACATTAATTGGCTGCCTCCTGTATGCACCCCAGCCATGAATGCAACCCACAACCTGGGCATGTGCCCTGACTGGGAATCAAACTGGTGACCTTTCGGTGCATGGAACAATACTCAACCAACAGCCATACTGGCCAGGGTCCAGCTCTGCCTCTTGTTGTTTGGGGACTTTGACAAATTAAGTAACCTCATTTTGCCTCAGTTTATTCATTTGTGAAATGGGGATAGTAAGGATTCTCACAAGACTGTTTTATAAGAGAGTTAATATATTCATTTGTGAAATGGGAATAATAAGGGTTCTCACAAGACTGTTTTGTAAGAATTATGAGTTAAAATGTATAAAGTAGTTAGAGAAGTGTCTGGTGTATAAGTGCTATATACAATTTTTTTTTTCAGTTAGAGACACTCAATAGAACAACATTCCTGCAGCTACTGCAAGGCCTCTGCAAAGGGAAAAGGGCCCTTCACTGCTACGGAGATAGTAGGTAGAAGCTTTCACTGTTTATAAACCAGACTTCAGAAGAGATGCAATTCAAATCCTCACCAGTCTTGTGAAACGCTGAGAAGTGTGTGTGTGTGTGTTAGGGCGCAGAAGGAAGTGTTCAGCCCTTGTCACCATCTGGATCTAGCTTTTCATCGCAGACACACAAAACACTTCTTGTATTTCCAAGCTCATGTAGTTACAGCTATGTTAGATAATTCTGGCAGACAGAATTATCTAACCTCAGCAGTGGGAGAGACAGTGTGGTGTAGCCATGGATATCTGAATTTGAATCCTAGCCTAGCCATTAACTTAGAAGACCAGGTTAGGCAAGTGACTTACCTTGTCAA